TAAACTAAACTAAACTAAACAAGAAAGTGAAATTCCCTTTTAATACATACTATAGTTTAATTCCAGCACTTATTGTTCCCATCAGAAGCTTCTTGTCTATGAAACTGTCTGATTAGTTGACATAACTGATATATGAACAACTACATATAGGAAGCCTTCCTGGATGCCTGGTGAAAAAACTATAAAAGTGTGATCCATACTTATAGCCATACATCCAGAAACACCCCAAATGAAACAATGTATAAGTAGTAGAACTACTGTGAAGAAACATAGCTCTCAATTCCTATAGTTAGCAGATTTGCAAAGCCAATTAAAACCGTAGATGGAGCTACAAATCTAAGCCACTGGGTTGGAAAAATAGGAACACATTTGTGGATAGCATTTTGCTGAGAATCTGCTGTCAATCCCTGCCAGCTCATTTTCTTGCTTAGATATACCTATAGGAAACTTATGTTTAAATCAACTATTCCTGTTGTGCATTTTCATCTTTCTCTGAAAGCCTCAAGGGAGTTGATTGGCTTGCAGTACTATTCATTATTTAAATTATATATTATTCAGCCTTGATCAATATTTATTCTGCAGTTTACTTGGCCAGACGGGTCAGTATGACACAGTTAAGCTTATTATAAAATGTATTTTGCACAAGTTAAGATAAACCATTAAGTCAATTTGTAGCCAGATGATATGCCAACTGCAACTGTCACATTACAGTAATGTTCATTTTCACAAACTTCCCAGCTAGTTGTCACCTCCTTGACTTTAAAAAGAATAAAAAAATATAATTCTGTAAAATTAAAAGTGGTGATCTTATTAAGGTGATAACCATTATGGAGAAAGTGGAGATTAATAAATCTCTTCCCATATTATTTCTGCCCCCTATTTCCATATACCAGTAGGGGTGAATATAAGGGATGGGATCCCTAGACCAGCTGCATTATTTTGTCTTCTACAACAGTGATAGAAATACCAGATGGCAGAGTTTATCAGTACTTAATCCAGGCACCTAGTTTGGGGCAATCCAGGTTAGCTAAGTAAACCAAGAAACTGTAATTTAAAATCTACAAAATCAGTTTTCCAATGATATGTCAATATTTAAATGGTCTTTCTGTACAGTCTCTATATTGCTGGAGTTTATTGAAATTACCATTTGACTCTGTAAAAGATTGCACCCCAAATAGATCTGATCTCATCTACCAGCAACTAAGAGGATTTTAATCAAGTTTGATTACTTGATTACTATCAAGAGGGGTCTTGAGCATTCTGGTATATAACCAAACCCTGAGAGGTCATATGATTTTTGTTCTATATTTGCAGAAACCTCAGTCGTGTGGTTCTGCTAAGTGCATATAATTGTAGAATGTAAATATATATTGGGGCAAAAATGAGCCTTTTAACTGATATAGCTTTAATAAATCAATTTCAATAATAGCCATCTGTGTTTATGCACCTTGTTGGGAATACCTGGGACCACTGAACAAAAATATCACTCTTTCTTACATCGGAATCTGAAATGCACCCAAACCCCACAGAAGATGGATATGCAGCAGTATTTCTCCAGGTGTTATATCCTATTATTTCTCTTTTTGAATGAGTGTTATTGTTAAAGCAAGAAGCAGCATGATCATCAGAAAAATGCATTATCAAATGTCCCATAGGCTACCATATTTGTGCAATACCATAATCAGTTAGGCCTGCAACAAGGGCTCCCAATGTAAATCTGCCTTGAATTTTACAGTCTGCTTCCCAAAGTCCTAACAGCTATCTCCCAAACTGCTGAATATGCACTCTTCAGAGCTGCAGCTAGCCCTTGCTTTCAAAATGGTTCCAAGATGATACTTGATATTTGGCTTTCTAAACTCTTTATATTTAAAGCTACTAAAACCTTTCCCTTAGCAGGGGTGTTAAACTGGCGGCCCACAGGCCGGATCACATGCAGGTCACGCCCACCCCATCTCCATGAATGGGAAAACGTTGCAAAGCATCACATGACGGCAACATGATGCATCAAGTTTGACACCTGTGTCAAAGCTTTCAAAATGACTGCATTCTACATTCTAATTAATGTTATAATCATAGTATTTTAAAGTTATTCAGTATTTTGAATATTTTTTAAAACCTTAATTCACAAGGGAATAAAAACGTGTCTTAAAAGACTCAAGCCTACTGCTATGTCTAAATTATGCAAAAATGTTGATACGCATGGTTGAGCTTCATATTTCCAGTATGTTGGACAGCTGAGAAGCATAATACATGACATCTAATGCTTTCCCCCACTTATTTCTTTCAAAAATGCAAAAACATTGAAGAGAAACCAGGAGTACTCACCTCTCTAGATATAAAATCTCCTTCAATTTTCCATATTTTACAATAACTTTACAGTATGGTTTCTGCAATGGTTAAACATGATCTTGTAATTCTACAGTGACCTAGCAATAGATTTTAGAACCGAAGTGTGGCACAAGATTTCCATTCGAGGATTAAACAGATATTTCTTCAGAAAGATGAAACAATTGAAGGCTAAGAGATCTTGGAGTCACTGATATGCAAGTTGTATAAATCAAGAGGATCACTGAATTAACTAAATGTACTTTTAAATTTTAGCTGAGTCAGTACTGTGACATCACAAAACTTAGAGGAAGCTAGGCAATATTAAGGAGTCTGGTCAGAATATGCAAAGTTCCTCCTATGTCTCCACCTTTTCTTTTTCCATTTCCAAGCATAGCCACACCCATGAATTTGCAGACAAATCGGTATTTCTAAAGGAGTTTTGTTCTGGTCATGGTGCATTCTACCTTGTTCAATATTATTGAAACAACAATCACAGTATGAATGAAATAAATCAAATACGCACAGTGGAAATAAGATAACCATGTCTTTGGTTTTGTTATTTCTTTACAAGTACATGCACTTAAAAGATCTTACATAAAGTGTACACAATGCAGCTAGAAATATCAATTGCACCAATTTCTCAGAATAAAAAAAAATCATTTCTGTCCTTATAACACAGCACGTAAGACAGATCTTATGTTGCAAAGTTACAGTTTCAAAGAAGGAATTTACATCTGGCCTTCTTTAAATCACAATCCTATGCATCTACATTCAAAAGGATTTCCGACCAGGTGCAAGGAAAGTGTGCAAAGGACTTCTGTTGAAAAATACATTTAAATTTTAATATTTTTATATCCAGATAATAAAATCTGTCCATAGACTATATGCATTTCCATGAATAAGCCCCTTACTCAATAATATCTAACACTTCATTAAAAGAAGTATCTACAACTGACTAAAATCACTGTACTAGCTACTTCACCTAGCTCAGAAAGGGGAACATACTAGTATTATCATTCTGATATTTTCTTTCAATTTCTATCAGTGCAAAATTCCACCTCCCAAATTCTTCACCCAAAAATATTTTCTTCTTGGGGGAAAAAAGGCAGCCTGGTAAAGCTCCAAAGCGATTGTGAACACCCCCCCACCCCCTTTCTCCATTCTACCTCCTTCTTCCCCAAAGGGATTCACTGCAGCTTTAAATATCTTGGTGCATCAATCCCCGAGTTTTTCCATCAACACTGTATAAAAACAACAGTCCCAAGAAGGGTGGGGTGGGCGCAAAATCTCACCCCACCCCTAGGGAAGGTAGGTTCCCAAGCCAGGCCAGGCTTCCTCACACTCACAAAAGAGAGCTGTGGTGTTAACATAAACGTTGACTTCAAGGCTCTCTCAAAAGATCAAGCAAATGGAAAATTAAAGGGGAGGCAGAAGCGAAGTTCTTAGGCACAGCAGGTGCATAATGCAGGGAAAGGTGGAGGGGGGGAGAGAAGGGGGAAAGGGGGGGGGATACATGAATGCAACTACCGCTCAGGGAGAGGAAGATGCGAAAGAGGCGGAGAGTTGGCCTTATCTGGAAGCATTCGCTGGTTGAAAAGATGTTGATCCAATCTCCTGTCCCGACCCAGATGCTCACTCACCTCTGGCGGACATGGCTCAGATGGACCCAGAGAGACAAGGCGGCGGCGAGCGCAAGAAGCGAAGCCCCCTCCCCGACATTAACCGGGCGCAGCCGAGAAGCATCTCCCCATGTGCCGCCGGGACTGCGAGCGAGAGGGCGGTACCTGTCTGCGTCTCAAAGCGAGGGAGCGCCGCGGACTAGCACAACAGCCGACCGCTGCAGCCACTGCGAGCAGCGACCGGCTGGGCCTGGGCGGGGCCATTTGCCGCTTCGCCAGGCGCTGCAGCACCACTCGGGTCTGGCTAAAAAAAAACACAACCGGCCCACCGGTTGGGGCCTCCTGCAGAAGAGCGAGGAGGCGATTTACGTGTTCGTTCCTTCATGCAATGTGAACATTCCGCAATGAATTCTGGCTTAATAACCGGATAAAGAAGCCAAGTCTGGTGTTTTGTTGTTTTTTTTTAATCTTGAGGGCAATTCAGGACATTTATGCCGCTTGGATCGAGCAGGCAACAGGTACTCCCGTAATCCACGGTGTTTTTGAAAGGGGAGGGGCGCCTCCAGGTGTACACAATGAAGGAACCTCCACCACTATTCGAAATGATCGATACAGGAGTTTGATCAGCGTTTGGCATTCAAAGCAGTTGAACCAGTTAAAATATAATAGCACAAGCAGTAGGCTACATGTACAGGTTTTCCCACACATCATGGTATTGTTTTCAATGGGCAAAGAATAATAGAGGAAAGAAACTTACACTGAGGGAACACAAAATGAGAAAAGCAGGGAAATACAAAATGATTATTTTGTATTCTGGACCTTTCAGAGCCTTTACAAAATCCTGTTGTCTCCGCCTCTACGATGGTTTAGTTTATGATATTGTACATGACCTCAGGTATGTGGTGATTCATAACCACATTGTGGTTACAAAACCAGTGAATGCTGTTGATGCTCCTGGTATGGAAAAAACAGAAACTGACCTCAAGCTTGGCTGATGGGCTGCATTTTTCAAGACGGAAATGTCATCTTGGGCTACTATTGCACAGCTCATTCTCTGGGCACAAATAGCAAAACTTTAATCTCAGAAGAGCTTCCAGGTGGCTATGTTTTCTCAAAATAAGTTCATGGCCAGAATACCTTTGTAGAGTTAATATCAATGTCAAGTGGTATTAATTTAGTGTTGTGCAGTAGTTAGGATATTAAGTAAGATCAGGATACCCACATCAAGGTCTTTTAGGCCCTGGTGACCTTGGAGACTGATCACTTTCAACATAGTCAATTTCACAGATGGATGCTATTCCTGTAAGTGAAGGCAGAAATATTATGTATAGGATCTTGAATTGATGTATAAAAAGCGGGATATACATCCAACAAGTTTGCAATTAGCAATTGATATGTTATTGTCTAATATATTAACAGAAGAGCCTAATCAAACTGCATGATACATGCAGGCCTTTATATATATATAAAGGCC